ATCGCTCTGCTCCCTGGGCAGTCCCTTTGGATTCGCCCTCTCGCTCCGAAGTCGAACGTGAGATCGGACTGTTGAAGTTGAACAAGGCCGCGGGACCAGCCCTCTTCAAATTCTGGGCCCTGCTGTTGTTGATGATTTATACGAATTACTAGTGAAACTGTGGGAGCGGGAAATTGTCCCAGCCGACTGGAGTCGCTCCATTATAGTTATGATCTTCAAAAGAGGCTCCCGTTCGGAATACGGCAACCAGTCAGTCTGATCCCCATCGCCTCCAAAGTACTTGCCTCTGTAATCTTTCGCAGATTGACTGGCGCTCGTGAAAGCCAGATTCGTGAAGAGCAAGCCAGATTTCGTCGGGGTCTTGGCTGCATCGACCACATCTTCACTTTGCGTCCGTTTTTAGAACACCGTCACATATTGGCAGCCCACCGTAGTCAACATCAAAGGTGCCTTCGATTCGGTTGATTGATGTGATTTTTGCGACTGTCTGCTCAAGTAAGGTATGCCCGAGAAATAGGTAAATATTCGTCGTGCACTATACGCACGTAGCCTTGGCAGAGTGAGGGCTTACAGCAAGCTGTCGCTGCTCTTCAGTATATCCAGCGGTGTAAGACAAGGATACCCGCTGTCACTTTTTCTCTTCAACTTCCCTATTGACGAACTCAGGGAGATTGTATTCACAGGACACAACTTAGAAGGTGTTGAGCTACTCCCTGGAGAACCACTTCTTGACTTGAAGTATGCTGATGATATTGCCCTCATCTGTGACAGCTCCCAGACATACCAAGCTGCACTGGACAGATGAGTACTGGCTGTCAGGCGCATCGGGCTTTGCTTCGCACCTTCGAAGTGCAAACCGTTCCTCCAAGATTGGTCTGGACCGCCTCCTACGCTGACCCTTGGTGCGTATCAGGTAGAAGTTGTTTAGAAATTCAAATATCTTGGAATTTGGATCAGCGCACTTTGGATTGAAGATGAGGTCACGAACCGTATATCAAAAGCTCGAGGCGCTTTTGCTAACCTTCGCCACTTGTGGCGCCGGCGCGACATCTCTCTTCTCCTGAAGAGTAGAGTTTACAATGCAACGGTAGGTTCGACCCTGCTGTACGGTTTGAAACCTGGCCACTTAGATCAGCGGACATAAAGAGGCTAGTTACGTTCGACCACCGGTGCCTTCGCAGTTCGACTCACATCTGGTGCGAAGACGGCATGAGCAACGAGCGTCTTCGACGCCTTAGCACCGTCATTTCACGCACTAGGCTTTGATGGCTGGGTCACCTGTTACGCATGCCAGCCCACCGACTCCCGCGACGTGCGTTGTTTGCTCGCCGGTGGTGTGGATGGAAGAAAAGAAGAGGTGGCCAAGCGATGACTTGGTCGAGAGGAATGAAGGCCCTCACTTCGAAGCTGACCTCGGTTGGATCGTCACGGCTCCCTGGTTGGGGTCCAAAAGACAATGAACACGTTTGGCTAGATACTCTTGTTGACATGGCTAGGAGCCGACCTCAGTGGCGTTCCTGCTGTAAGTTTTTTTGTCCCTCTCCATCCCCTTTAGCTTCCCCTCTAACCACGATCTTATTTCGTAGCATAATATAATTTTACATACTCATTTTTTTGTTGCCTAGTAGCCGGCTGGTAGGTTTCCGGGACGATGCTCATCCGTTGCTGGTAGCTCAGCTGGTATGCAGCTGTTGCATTTATTTTCTTTGTTCTCGATATCAACGGTATCAAAAGCATCCCCTGACAGCAGGCCGACGAGCACGCCTGAATGTTGGTTGACTGGAAACTGACGGAAGTAAAGCTGCACTTGCTTCTCCCATCTGGAGTGGTGGCCGGTGGCCGAATGGTCTTCACGTTTGCTTTGCAACCATAAGGTCACCGGTTCGAATCCGCGTAGGGGTGGGCGTCCTCGCGGTATACTCAGCCCACGCGCGACTGGTGGTGCTCGCGCGGCAGCGAAGCGCCGTTACGGCGTACAGCTGACACATCATCATCTCTTTTTTCGTGTCAGTGGTATACCGAGACCGTTTGTCAAGCCAGTCTCTAATATGTGATCTTTCAACATTCTCACTCTATGTTGGATCGGTCGACAGCCATCGCTGGATCCGTACTCTTGAAAAAGATTTGTACTATGTCTCTGCAACACGCGAACAATGCAGTAGAATCTTAAATATGCCTCTATTATCTGACTCTGGTGACAGCGGCTGCGCTCTCCGTGTTTCTGGTGATGCTCAGTCAATGGTTCGTGGTTTACTCGGTTGATGTTACGCTCTGCCAGTAAGCCAAGGGTAGCCTACCCAGCTAACTCCTAGGAATTAGCAACTTGTGCGTCGTTTCACTTCTTTTCATCAATACTGAATGACAGCTTCTGAAGGTATGATGTCTATGTTTATCGATGTGCGCTTACACCGACTCCATTTTTGGGATTATCAAGGATGTGATCTGCTTGAATCAGAATGCACGAATATCTTGATTGTTGTATATGACATTATGTGGCGGCTCGACTTATCGGAGTCCGCGCATCACGTGGAAAGCTGTTTCCCGTTTTGCGTTAGTCAGATATATGATGACAGTCTGTTTTCAACATTATGCGCACCACGGTGCTCGTCTCACTACCATTTATATTTTCGACACAAGTGATAATATTACTTAATTTGGTTCCATTCGAACGAAGCAGCCCTGGACGCGGATCGACCATATCGCCGTTCCATTTTTCCGTTCAAGAATATCAGCCAATTTTGAGCGTTGATTCAGATTCCTATTTTACTTCGCACGTCCTCATCGCCATCATCCTTAGCAGCAGTACATCAGCCATTTGAATTGATGCTTTGCATAGCTCAACACATCGCCTACCTTCGTGACTGTTTACTTGTCATCTGAACTCGCAGCCTATCAACCAACCATTACTCCAAGTTAAAATATCTTATTAGCTATGAACGAGGCGAATGAACTCAATGCCGACTTGAGTCACCTCGGATGAAACAGGCCCTGAAAACCACTTGCGCATCCGGCTTAGTTTACCAGGGACGGCTAGATATTTTTAAGTCTTAATCACGTTGATTAAAGCGCGGAATTTTATTTCAAGTGCTTAGTTTCAGATCTTCCGTACTAGTCTGCACCATCATCCAATCGTGAATCTGTGGGTCGGTCATGAGCCTTTTTATGGCCATGGCTAAGCAGATGGAAACGTCCAGTGCCAGAGTACAGCTTAGTACTCTTTCAGCTTATCTAGTATTTGTTCGAGAAATGTATCACTGGGTGAAATCGCAATTGAAAAGACTAACAGCCGACCCGTTGTCAGACGAGTTAACTAGAACGATTAGATTTAGATAACCAGGGAATATTTTGCTGTCCCAGTGTGTTACCATTGCATATCGAGTCATCTGGATTTTTCTGGAACATTGATCTCACAAAGCTATGAGTCCCAAAAGTCAACAATGAATGTGTTCTGTTGAACCGGAGCAGGACACTTGAACTCGACGGCATCCCGTAGCGACTTACTGATAACTGGCGTATATATGGTGCGCGAATGGTGCTCCTTTGAATTAGCGATTGTCGGCAATCATTCGTACGTTTCAAACTAACCACTGTAAGCCACGTCATAATTATCGGGAATTCTGTTAGTTATCGTTTTTTCAAACCGCTTCCAACTGCGTTAGGAGTATTCAGTCGGACGTTAGCCGCGCTAACACTATCACGGGTAGCATTCAGCATTCTTGAATTCATATGACCCAGCCAATAGAATTACGGCATTTGACTACGCTCCATTTATGTCCATGGTTTTTCTATTAATTGGGACGGAAGTGGGAAACATCGCTGTTGATCATGGCTTTTGATGCTCTGGTGCTGTTTTAACTTCCTTTTATTCCCCTTCATTGGTTTCTTTCGGCCAAATGTGTACAGACATTATTTACGGCAATCATGTTCCCATTGGTTGGTCGTCGACGAGACAAGGTGTTTATCGGTCACCTATGGACTGCCTGAATATCACCAACGGTGTACTTCTATGACTTGATTCTTATCTGCTGGTCTGTAAATACTGAATTTCTATATTCCTTCAAAGGTAACGCATCGCTGTACTTTGTCCTTCGCTTCAATGCTCTCTCTCAGTGGCCATGCCGATACAGAGGGTAGCTTACACGTGTGAATTCGGAACCAACAAAATTCACTGCTCCTCCTCCATGTGAACTATTTATGTGTACGACAGGATATCATGGCGTTGGTATGCAGTACTGCTGTTTATTATACTGTTGTGCAGCTTTTGCGCATTGAAGGCTTTAAATTACTAATCGCTGGCCTTTTGTACGTCCATAGCACTGTTCATATTTGGCGATATTATCGAGCGGGTATTGCATATGCCGCTGGTTTGTGTATTGTAATAAGCTCTGCTGTAGCATTAGATCATCTTCCGTATTTGAAGCATACATTTTCTTCGCATGTCGACTGACTGGCTAACCCGGTGCGCATTGTCTGCCGTTAGGACATTCTGTTCTCTGAAGTCACATAGTGATGACCGCAACATAAGTAGGTTGACCAAGTGGCTTGGTCCAACTGGTACTTGCTATCTTCCTAAATATGAACCTCGGGCCCAGCTACGTTAGAGATTAGAAGTCTCATCTGGCCTGACGCCGTTGTGGAATCAATGGTCTTTCCTATCTCGCTGTAAGGCTTTCATTTTGCCTACCTTAACTTGATTCTGACACTTTTTCATTGAATTTTATTGACTCATTTGCATTCACTTTATTTTTATTCAATACTGTCAGTTTCTTTTGTATTCATCCTCACAAACCACAATGGCCGAATCCGATGTGTTTTGGTTCTCGATTTCCAGTTCAACAACCGAACTGGATCGCTAAATTCTTTCTACTTACACCCTTTTGCTTATTTGTTGCAAAATCATCACTCACATTTTTATAACGCATCATTTATGCACTGGAATGCTCTAAGCCAGATCAACTCTGCTTACCCCATTGATGCCCCACGCCCACTTTTGATTCTAGGTTATATTTGATGACGATCCCTCAAGAAAAAACAAACCCACATCAAAACAGAATGAAGAAGTTAACCAAGCAATGATACGGTGAGTCTTTTCGCGTTTTCTTTTCTGCAGTGACGCCTTGGAATCGTCCACAGGACATTTTAACTATTACACTTAATGTTTTCTTAAAATACGTGTGAGGTTTTATGGCGCCTATTACCTTTTAACTGGATGTTGCTGCTTCAGGCTGCTATGTTTACTCATTGAGTCGATAGAGTGGCAGATGTACCTGTCGTCTTTTGCTAATATTACAACTTGCACGAAGCTGATACTGGACTTCTACCAGACAACACTTCATATGGTAACACGTTCCATTACGTGCGAGAAAGTCCCATACATGAACTGCTTGTGTTTTGTCGCTGTATTCTGGCACAGCCCATCAAATGCTATCTTCAATCCGGATTTGAACGACAATCCCACCGACGCACGATGTCCAAAAGCAACAGCTCCTTATTTAATGCATTTGAAGGACTATATCCCATTTGTGGACTAAAGGATCACAAGCCTGCTTTGTAATCCGAAGGCACGGATTCGAGTCTGCGTACGGGACCGGGTGACCCTCACATTATCCCTAGCCAACGCGCGACTGTTGGTGGTTGCGCGGCGGCACAACGTCAGTACTATGTGCCGACGTACTGACGATTCCCTTTTTTACCTTCATATTTCATCGGCATCCACCTTACACGAGTTCACCGTCGACCTCCTTCCCTCACTGATATAGTCCAGTTTCGCATACAATGACTGATATCGTACTATCTGTTATTTTTGACCTGTAGTCACAATGGTTATAAGTGTCCACAGCGGAATTCTGTTTCCCGGGCTACTTGTTTCTGAGCTGTTACTGTGGTTAGGGACAGTTTAAAGTTTACGTGCTCCGTGTCTTTCAACTGTCTCACCTCCGTTCAGGCCACTATCTCATTATTCCTTTTTTACAGCGTCGCGTTGACGAAGTTGAGACTCCTCGTAGTTTTGATTCTATCAGACAAGATATTGGTACACTTCTAACGTATTGAACCAACTATGTGGACCTTCAGTCCCATTACTTTTGTAATCACAACACACTGTTTATTCTAAGCGCAACTGAATTGCGGTTCACAGGCAACATATCTGTACGACAAAACATCCTTAAGGGCATGTCTCGTCTGTATTAACTTCGGATTCGCGTTCAGAATTCTTCTGGTCTTTACTCAGATTGTGGAGTCTCATGAGAGCCGGGTAGTCTAAATGCCTTGATCATCCCATGTCTCTACTTCTCTGGACCATGCATGGACACCCCGTTTCTACTAGTTTCGTATCGCATCGGTCAAACTGACTCAATTCTCTTGCTTTTCGCCCGTAGCCCCTTGGGCAGCCGGTCTATGCAGTCTAGTTTCAGCTCCGATTTAATTACCAGAAACACTCTGTCGCTTTGCACCTGCATATTTCTACCTCTCGTGTAGTGGTATGGTGGATGAATCTGGGGACCATTTTGTGGCCTACTTCCTACCAACAGAATCGACCAAGGAATTGCGACGATTGGATGCAGAAAACCGAATACCATACACTGAAGGTGCAGCTTACGAATATGAATTGGCTCGTGAATACAACTGGAACGTGAAAAACAAAACCATGGCTAATTACGAGGAGAATTACTTTTTTGTTTTCCGCAAGGATGGCAAGTTGGGCTAAATCTTATGAAATCCATCACTTACCTGTAAAACAACGTTTTCTACGTTTTTGCTATTGAACTGTTAACTCTCTGAACCTTTTTCAACGTAGCAATAACAACCAACATTTCGCGTGATAGACTGAATGCATTTTATTTCGTGTATTTTCCATCAGTCGCTTACAAACGTACAGTGGGAAGATTTAGTGTGCGCATGTGACATGGAACCAAGAAGACAATCGATTTGAACCTGGGTCGATTGGGGTCCTCGCTTTCACTGACTGATCCAGTGCCACACGATGCCAAATCTAAGCTGCACACCAGGTCAACTTGCCTGCACAGTTTGGGCTTCAGCCACCGGATTGCCGAATCCTCGTTTAACCGGAGCAGTGATAGACTATTCTGCCTACTGATGACCTTGAACGAGTTACCTGGGTGTTGACACACATTACAATATTGCAGGTGTCGAGCAATAGAGCTGGCAGGTAGCTTAGGCCCGTTCATCCCTAGACCTCTCGAAGGTGCTCCATAATCCTTGTGGATAATCTTCTCTCAGTCCGACCAATGTACATGCTACCGAACGTATAGTTAAATTGGTGAACATAGGAGGCGGTGATTTGAGGGAGAGGTTTATCTAGATTGGATTGGTGCAGTAACTTTCTAGTTTGATGCAATGGCATTAGCTCAGCTGCGTAATAACACCTCTTTGTGGATTGCTGTAGCCGGTGGCAGAACTTCTTATGAGTTTGTTCCCCTTTGAAAGGTATGGTGATGAACACATTCTTGGGAACATCAGGGTGTTTTATATTTCGGGGATTCCCCCACCCATATCTTCCTACAAATTTACTAGGGTACCCATTATCATGTATTTTTGATAAAATTCGCTACAGTTCACTCGTGCTTGACTCTTCGGAACAGAATCGGCGCGTTCTCCTGAAACATGTGCGAACCAAGGATCGCTTATAATTCATCGGGCAGTAACTGTCAAAGTTTAGCTACTACTCTACTCCGCATCTGCACCAAGGATGTTCAGTTTAGCTTCGATGCTAACCTCTACCGAAAAATTGAAGGCGTATCGATAGGCAGCCAGCTTGTACCTGTTGTACATGATATCTTCATGGGCCATCTAAACAATAACCAATTACGACGGACCATAGAAAGCGCATCATTCTATTCCGGCTGTGTAGATGACACTTTTGTGGACAGAAGGCAGAGAATATGTTGGTGGAATTAAACCAATGTCATCCGGAGATCAGTTTCATAATGAAAAGTGAGTTGGGGGAGATGTTTCACACGAATGTTTCCTTAAAGAGAAGACCATATGGATCGCTAATGCGGTCGATTTATCACAAACCCAGCTGAACAGGACACTATCTAAACTTTGACGGTTACTGCCCGATGAATTGTAAGCGATCTTTTGTTCGCACATGTTTCAGGAGAACGCGCCGAATCTGTTCCGAAGAGCCAATCACGAGTGAACTGCAGCGCGTTGTATCAACACTATGCGATAATGGGTACTTTGGTAATGTTATAGCAAGATATGGAAAGAAAATCCCCGAAACATAAAACAATTTGATGTTTCCAAGATGAAGTTGTTCATCGGTCTATCTCGTGACATGCTAGTTGTTCTTTCTGAGCCCTCGAGCGTGGACAGAAATACTTAACTTTGCATTTTAATCCCTCTTATTTGTTGGCATCAGTTCACTGGATCAATTTATCTCCATTGCTTCGGCTTCACAACGTTGTTTCTATCGTAGCGACATCGTTGTCCGGTGCGAACACAATTGTCCCTCCAAATTCCTACTGTCCTAATCACCTGTCAGTTAGCTCTATCGACTTCCTTCAGTTAGTCATTTTCAGAAAGCGGTCAAATCTGTTCAGTTAAGTAGCCATGATCTGAGCACCGAACTGCAGTGGATGCAGCTGCCGCGACTCGCATCATCAGGATTAAAACAAACAACGCTAATGCGCTACTTTGAGTAAATCGCAACTAAAATGCAAAAAAGGGAGCTAAGTGCGAGAAGTTCGTAAAGTAATCAGGATGAAAGAATAACAACTTAATACGAGAACCTGAATACCGGAGCACCACTGACTACGTGACTGCTTCGTGCCCGATAGGGTCTCCAACTACCGATGGGACTCATCACGAAGCCCACATCCCCAGTCTGACTAAGTTTCTTGGTCTCTCCCCTCGTGTTTCATGGCCCATCATCGACCGACATTTTTGCTCGACTATGTGCAACAACAGCGTATATTATACGATGGGAAAGGCACTCAGGGGATATACAGAGGGCATGACTTGGCCAACGTAAGTGCCTAAACAGACACTTCATTGAGGCACCTGGGTTTCTTCCTACATACCAACTGGCTGATCTCGGAAATGCTCACCTCGTATTCCTATCAGATGTGAGCAATACTCCGCAAGCATTGGTGGTTAGACTCGGTCAATCTTCTAATATTTTCAGCGCGAAGTGGCCGTATGAAAATATTGACCTAATCGCAGCGCTATGCACCATGTCTTTGACTGAGAAGCTGGTATCCCACTTGAGTCTCTGAAAGGCCAAATACATTTTGTTGGTAAGTGCAGTAACTTCCTGAGTGATGGTACCACGAATGTTGACATAATTACCAAGACACATGCACCGATCGATTGCTTCAAGTGGCTGCTCGGTATTATATCGACCATTCTACAATAGCGCTTCACATTTTCTAGGTGCGTTGCTTCATGCGTCAGAGTTTTCAGCAGTGCTTTGATCTTAAAGATCTGACCCGCAAGACAGTGGGGCGAGTACGAAGGCCGTTGACAGCCAGGTGGCTCATTTGTCCTCTTTGTGTTCGGTTGCAGTCCACAGAGGAGCCGGTGGCCATCAAGGTTATCCATCCGCCCTCCATTAAATACTCACCTTCAGTTATAGAAGTGAGTGGTCAGTGACCCTATAACCGGTCACATTGGCTCTGAGACAACGCCGTACGAGCTTTTGTGGTATTTGATGGAGAACCAGGTTACCAGCCCAGAACCCCCCGCGCTTTGAGACGCTGCCGCTGGTGGTCCGTGACTGCTTATTCGCCTGCAAATCAGGCGAGACTTATTCGCAGTTACCTCCACAAGGAAGGCATTCCCCAATCCGTAACCTGGGGACGCGTCCGATAGCGTACAGCTCTGCCACAAGAGTGCGCAGTGAGGACATTAAACGCTTGACCGTGTATGACCACCGGCACTTGCGGATTATTGCCCACATACGATGGGAACACCGGGTAAGCAATGTTGAGGTTCGCCGGTTGGTTTTTGCAAGAAGTTTTCTGGTGCCTCACTCGAGCGTCTGCTATGGCTTAGCCGCTTACGTTAGCTTGATCGTGACCCCTGTATGCCCTTTTCCCCGTTTCCTTGGCGTGCATTATGCGTCGTCGTTGCAGCAAGTTGGGCGAAACTTCAAGACAGCCAGTCCGTGACGTGGCATAAAGACACGAAGAAATTGACTGTTAGACTTAGTCAGGATGGGGGACTCGGGATGGTCCACACCAGTAGATGGTGACCCTATCAGACATTGCGCAGTCACACAGTTAGTGTCATTCCTGCATTCGTTTTCTTGCATGTGGCAGTTAATTTTCACTCAATACCGTTTAGTTTGACGCACCTCTTCCTTGCTTGCATCTTCATCACCTTCTATTTGCGCTCAATCTAATTGTCTTATCGTTGTCATTTATCCTTAATTTGGCGACGTGATACGTGGTAACCGGATTATAGTTGTTTAACTGAACTGAACCCTGTTCGTTTGGCCTTTAGACTACATGAATTTTCTTTTTCCTCTATGCTGTGCATGAGTTCTCGACGCGTTCAACGTTCGTGCTCTAAAACGAATAAGTCGACTGCCTGCGCCCGCACGCATCTTGGATACGCTGAGTATTGACCTGTGTTGTGTATCCGAAACTAGAATCAATGACCCTTACACGGTCGTCGAATTGACTACGCCCGGCTTGTCCCCTGGTTATTGGTTGCACGCATCCGGAAACGCTGATGTGGCAACCACTGGGCAGGCTGTAGTAGACATTGTTCTAAGCTCCAAGGCTGAGCCATCGTTGGTTGATTACATTCCGGACGACAGCAGTTTGTGTGCAGCCCTTTTGACGACATCAACTAATGGTTCATTCACGAATTAGTACAAGATACTGTTTGTGTTTGTGGCTTCCGCTTATGTTCCCACCGACTGCAGTTCTGACGCTTTCTGCCCCGAACTTAACGCGCCGCTACACGGTGTTACCAATCCAGGTATCGTATTTCTTGCAGGGGATATGAACGCACAAGTAGGGCGTTTGAGCTCTTCAGAAGCTCAGCTAGACGATAAATATGGACTTAACTCCAACCGTGCGGACAACGGCGAGCGTCTGTTGCGGCTGTATGCGGAGGTCCAGTTGTTTCTTAGTAGCACCACTTTTAGACAGTGGGGGCTGAAGTGCCACTTGGTGTCCTTTTGTAGCTGACCAGCGATAGACCCAAATAGATCACTCCCCATACGTTACAGGTGGCATGGTTCCATCATGGACTGTCGCTCTTTCTAAAATACTCGCGCCGCCGCTGATCATGCCTTGGTATGCTGTCGTTTTTCCATGACCATTACCGGGAAGCGTACCAATAGTCTCCTTCGATTGGCAGCTGAGAAGTTATCTAAGCACTGTCAGGCAAGACTACGGGGATGCACTGCCTACAGAAATTGCGCTCTTTTGTCCTAATGACATTGAGCTTCAGTGGAATGGGATCTGGGCTACAGTGCACGATGCTGGAGCTTCTGCTTGCGGCACTATCAATCGTCACCATACTATTCTCTGGATATCCGAGAAGTCGGTGAACCTGTTGGAACCCAGAAGAATACGCCCGACTGACTCTGAGCACAATGTGACCAGACTGACTATTAGGCGCAAAATAAAGCGTAGGCTACGCGTTGTAAAGGAGGAGGCAGGAGCAGTAGGCAGTCACCGCAATCATTGTTGATCCACACAATTGGTCTTAGGGAACCACACCTGAGTGAGACAATTAGAGACGGCGCGGATGCACTGATAAGAAGTGCTGTGTGGTACGCTGGGCGGGACACTTTCATGATCAATTCAGTTGGCCACCTGCTCCCGGAAATCTTCCTACCCAAGTGATGAAGGATGAGCCATGTACGGTTAGTTTAGAGAATCAAACGGAAGCTGAGGTCCGAAACGCGATCACAGCCCTCAATCATTTTCATGCTGCTGGCTCGGATCTTCTCTCACCTGCACTGGTTAAGGATGGAGGCTTAGCACTGAACTCCCTGTTCGAACATGTATGGAAGGAGAAAACCGTCCCGGCTAACTGGATTAAATCGGGTATAGTGGCAATATACAAGAAGGGCAGTCGCACCGACTGTGCTAACCACAGAACTATTAGCTTAACGCCGCTGGTGACAAAATTGCTAGCCTCCATTCTGTTTCATCGCCTCACTGCGGAACAGGAATCCCGGAAGAAGGAAGATCAGGCTGGTTTCTGCCCAGGACGTGGCCGTATAGCCCATATATTCACTTTGCGGCAGGTGTTAGAGCAACGCCACGCCCACCACAGATCGACAACAGCTGTGTTCCTCGACTTCAAGAGTGCATTCGACTCAATCCGTCCATCCATTCGGTTCTAGATACTTGTGCAGGTAGGTTTTCCATGAAATATGTGAGCCTTTTCCATGCTCTGTACTTGAACACGACTGATTTTATCTGGGTCTACAGTGACCTGTCGGATATCTTTTCGACAAGTGGCGTTCATCAGAGTTGTTCGATTTCCCCATTTTTGTTTAAATGCATCGTGAATTCCATCATGGACTGTCTCCTTGCGGAATCTCGCGATGCAGGCGTTGAGGTACTGCTTGGTGAAAATCTAGTTGCTCGATTGTGCGGACGATGTTGTCCTACTCATTAACGATGCTGGGGCGGCTCAATTAACCCTGAATAACCTCTCTAGTGTTGTCTCATCATTTGGCATGCGCTTCGCACTTTCAGTGTGCAATGTTGCTTCAGGATCACCAGCCACTTGATGATCCCTTGACCCTTGATAGCGAAAAACTCCAGCTAGTTGTTCAATTCACTTACCTTGGTAGCTGCATCAGCAACGATGGGTGCATAGTCTTCGAAGTCATTTCACGCACTGCAAAACGCTAGCACTTCTTTTTGAATCTGTGGCGTCAGAAGTAGGTTTCCTTCAGTCTGAAAGGTCCTGTTTACAAAGCAACTGTGAGGGCCGTCCGACTTGGCACTTGGACCTGAGGACTTGCGGCGCCTTCAACTTTTTGATCATCATTGCCTACGAAGCCTTGCTGGTGTCGGGTGTCACCAGCGTATCCGCAGCGATTATGTATGTAGGCAAGTGTTAGGTAGTGATAATCATGTTAGTTCTTAGAACAAGAGATCACTTCATAAGTTGTGTTGGTTTGGGCGCGTGCTACGTACGGTTGGTCACCACTTACGGAAGAGGTTGTTGTTTTGTTTGCCAGCTGTAGAGTGGAGCAAGACCCGCGGTGGGTAAAAATTAACTTAGCAGCGAAGAAAGGAATCAGTTTCAACCAGACGGTCCCATCGGTCCGTCTCCCCTTCCAAGCTAGTCTACATGACCCGCCTTGTGCTTAACTTGAGATGTTACAGCACAAGGCTCGCAGTTTTAACCCGTGGCGTGTCTGCTGTCGTGTCCTACTCAGAATGGCTGTTTAAAGTGTGTTTGGTGCTGTGTTATCTGTGGGGTAATGGCTGATTGTGACGCAGGGTGGTAAAAGCCGCAAGGAAGCTGTCTCGCTGATAACGCCTTATCTTCGCACGGTGGCCATCTGTTTTTGACGTTATGGTACTGACAAGGTGTAAGTGCCTTGATCCTGAGTGTTTTTTAGAGCATAAAGGTTTTGCGCTAAGTCTCTCTTCTCTACCTCTTATTGTTCTTCGTTCCCTAAGTCACCGTGGCTGTATGACAGCGAGGGATCAATTTAGATGGCTGATGTACTGCTGTTGATGATCATGAGTTGTCGATACTTGACAAAGCTTTGATCACGCATCATCCCATTGTAAAGCACTCTCACTTACCCCGTGCCACGACGTTCTTTGAGCTGTTACATACTTTATTCTACGCCGAACCAACTGCCAATACCTAACTGAATTCCTCAATCTCTACTCGCATACATTCTCATACTGCAAAAACAATTCGCTTTTGTCTGTAAAATGATTAGAGCAATTTTTCCTTATCTTAGCTTGGTATCGAAAACTAAATGGTTCTTTTGGCAGCTTCCTCCACAATTTGCCGAAACATCGTCGACACCGTTTGCTATTCACAGCCACGCTTGTTTCGGTTCCACATGCGAGTGACACTGGTCCGATTCGTTTATAGATTGCATTTGTTTTGGGCCATTATTAAGCTTACGATGGGATTATCACTACGTGGCAACCTCAGTATATTGCGTCACAACTGTTGAATTCCGGATTGTCCATATCTTTTCATTTCTTTACTTTGTGTAGGTGTGTTTTACAACGAGCTCGAGACCCGTGTCAGACTGAGTAAGCGTCGAAAACTGGCTCATTCCGGTACATTCAGTACCGCGGGTGGGGCTCCTTCTGCTCCAATGACTCGTCTAATCGTTCATCACAGAGATTTCACAGATGAGGAGTTGAAAGCCCAAACGGACCGCTTATATATGTTAGAGCACGATGTTGAAGAGGAGGAGGAGGAGGACGAAGATGAGCAAAGTGGCGAAGAAAACGCTGAGGCTCATGAAAAACGCGAACCCCTTCACTCCGATGTTGAAGGTATTTTCTGATTTTCATGCGCCATTCTTTTTGTGACACGCACACGTCTTTTTACATGCGAACTGTACACGTCGGCTTGCGATGGTGGCGCAGTTGCTAAAATGGAAGTGTTTTCGGCGGAATTGCGAGAAAGATCTCAGAGACAAATCACGTAGTTCATTCAGTCTATACTAAACCGCACCCCGCTGGAGTAGCTTTTGCAACATTATTCGGGACTTTGCATATTCGGCATCCAAACTCAGAGGCGTAGTTTGAAGAGGCTTATGTACTGTTAGCGGGCTTTCAAAAAGACGAGTTCTTGACGACCGTTATGTACTGACTAGGCATTGTTACCTAGTCTATCGGGTGAAGAGAAACCTATTAAGGAGAAGTGAAATTCCCCCGAAAAGCCCGTTGTCTCGATAATGCTCAGCTGAAGTATTAGGCCGTTTCAAGATAATTCAAGTCCGTCACACAGATTATGTGCCTACCTCACTAGGCACGTGGGTTCATCGACGACCTAACTTCACTGGAAGTTATTATGTTCTTGGGTTGACCTGAACGTTGATTTTCTGGCTACTTGGATCATTTCTGTATTCGATCTAGCTGCTGGTTGCAAAATGCACAAGGCATCTACTTTGCAACCCGGAGGTCACCTGTTCGAGCTTTCATGGGGGACAGGGGACCATCGCACTATCCTTAGCCCGCGCACGACTTGTGTTGCCTGCGGGGCAGCGAAGCATTGGTACGGCATACCTGCGTACTTCCAATGTCTTTTTCTTACCAACACATGCGTCGTTAACTTTGCTTTCTGACCGTTTCAACCGTAATCGCATATAAAGTGTAGAGTCTACGTAGCCCATCAACCAGACCTAGTTTACGCTTCATATTACTCCCAAGGTGCCTGCATCTTGCTTCATTTCATTATGTATGTGTATTTGTCCTCTTTTGCTCACTCTCCTTGAAATGGAACTGCTTTCTTTTCCTCTTCAGCCAAATCTTCCCGCGGGACAGTCACAGAGAGCGAAGCTGAACTTAGCGCAGACGATGAAGAGGAGGGGGAGGATGATGATGATGATGAGGACGTGGTAAAACAGGAGCCCAAGCTCACCACGCACACCATCAATCATCGGACGTCGGCCGCAAAATCCTCTCATGTATTCGATTCTAACGACGATGATACTGATTCCAGCGAGTTAAGCGATTGACACTTTGACTAGTTTTTCTCTGTCTGGAATGTTACCACAGAAAATCCATGTCCCTTGTAACTTTGTCACAAATAAAATGAATTTTTCCCAAACTTCTTCTATGAAGGCCTTTAGAAACAATGATCAATTGGTTTTCACAACGAGATTGCATTCCGAAGTGTGCAATAGTTTACTGCGCACCTATTCTATGCAGCTAGCTATGCTTGCTGCTGCTTTGGGAAGTTACATGGACACCTGCGTTCTTGTCAAATCGGTTCATTTCGAGCAATAAAGCAAACAACTTCCTGGTCATCCGGGTTGGAGAATGCAACCGCGGTGTGTACAGACGTCCCCGAGTCGCATGGTATTGGCTCAGCCAATGGGAACGGTGACCGGCTGCTCTCATTGTGCACCACTCACGGCCTGAGGATCACGAACACACAATTTGTAATGGATGCGAGTGATATAGCTACTTGGACGCACTCACAGGGTGGTCACGCTCGCCTGCTCGACTATGTCATCGTACGTCAGCGTGACATGCGCGAAGTGTGCATGACACGTGTGCTTCGTGGAGATGAGTGTGGCGCTTACCACAAACTGGTGCAGACCAACTTGTACATATATATTCTTAATCTATGTATTGAACTCGTACCGTGAACCTAGGGCGCAAATTTAATGCTCTTTCTCTAGATACTACCGAGAAGAGGGTGGAACTGGAGAATGCGATGGCTACCCGCATTGGCGATATCTAATCCATCGCCTCTGTGAGCGACCTATGGTTCCACCTTTGTGAACAGGTGCCGGATGCTGCCGAAGAAACGATCCGGTGCGCAAATTGTAAGCGGCCAGATTGGTTTGATTCTAACAGTGCGACCATTGGCGCATTGGTGTCGGAGAAGAATGCGGTATTCGCTACATATGTGGAAAACCCTGTCGGTGCAGAGAAGGCGAATCATTTTCGCCAACTTTGACGTCGACCCATTTGAAAGCTCTGTCGCATCGAGAATGCATGGTGGACGGAGAAGGCGGAGCAGATGGAATGCTACGCGGAACGCTGCAAACATAAGGAATTCTTCGGATCATTGAAGGTGGTGTATGAAACCGCCTTGCAGCTACTGAGGACGCTGTTCCATGCTACCTCAGACGCTGTCTGCTCACAGACTGCATACATAATATAGAGCTGGCGAACGTACTTTGACTTTCTTCTGAACAGCCGTTCAGAGATTGACTGGGCTGCAACAGGAGATTAAGATGTATCTTAGCGACACGCCGACACTGGATGAGACGAGGAGAGCACTTGCTCAGCTGCGAAACTGCAATTGCTCCGGAACCAAAAGTATACCCTCTGAATTATTGAAACACGTCGGACGCGCCTTGATGCATATGCTGCACCGCTTGGTGCAACGCGTGTGGTGTGAAGAACTGTGCCATCCGAGCTGAAGGATGCTCTTGTACTACCACTGTACAAAAGCAAATGAGTAAGCAGTGTGCAACGAATTATCTTGATGTCAACTTGCTGGGCTGTGTGGGGGTGAGGTGATCACCCGAATCCTGGTCAACCGTCTCGTCAGTTTGGTTGTGGAACCGAACGTGGCGGAAGAGCAAGTTGGATTCCGTTCAGGTTGCAGCACCATCGATATGGGGTTTGCGACTCGTCACTTGCAGAGGGAGTGTAGAGAACGACACCAGCCATCATACTCGCTGTTTGTTGATTTCACCCAGGGCATTTGATACAGTGAACCGCGAGGCATTGTGGCTGATGTTGGGTAAGTTTGGTTGTCCGAGTAAGTTTGTGAGTTTAATGGTATGTCTGCATCGTGCAGCTGTGGAGAGGCCTCTGGTGACTTTGCTGTTGCCTACGGTACGAAGCAAGGCTGTGTCTTATCCACTGCGCTGTTCAAAAATTTACCTTCATGCAATGATGTCTTGTTCTCTTGATGATGCTCGTGCTTACGGTGTCCATGTGGAGCACCATATTGATGGTGGCTTGTTGAATATATGTCGTTTCGAGGCGAGTACCATGGCGTGTGGGGCAACCATCAGTGTGTTGCTGTTTTCAGACGGTTTTGCGTTGTTTGCACACATTGCGGATGAGTTGCAGCGCATGACTTCGGCTCTCGCTTTGACAACGGCCAAATTCGTGCTCACTATCAACACATGCAAGATTTTTAAAGCAGTTAGTTCCCTTTAGAAATTTGAAAAGCACGGTAAGAAGACGAAAACTGGTAGATGCATGCATTTCGTATTGTCTCCTCAGTACCATTAACAATAACCGGTATGCAACTATATACTTAAATATGTGTGTGACCGAATAAGCATGGGGTGCAAAATGAATGACGGAAGTTTCACCCCTATGTCCACGGCAGTCTTAAGCTGATAAATAATTGCTTTTGAACACACAGGGCCGACTTATCGCAACGGCCTCGGAGAAACGGAGGAAGCGGGGATTAGGGTGACGTAATACAAGTGTGAACGCTGATCCAAGCTCTATCCGGTGACGCAAGATTGTTTGTCTTTTTCAACTTACACCAAAAACAGCATCAGTAAGTTTGCCGCGAATCCAAATCGGTGATGACGTCTTGGAAACCACTTCGAGATTTCGCTACCTGGGTAATGTGCTTTCGACCGATCTGCAGATGATGAGGGAGCTACGTTTATGCGTATCGAATGTGGCTGCTGCGTTTGGAAAGTTGGGAAATCGTATGTAGAGCATGCGCCACCTTACCGTTTAAACGAAGCTGCTGTTGTACAAGTCGATGGTGCTGTCCGTTCTTCTATACGGCAGCGAAACGTGGACAATGTGCCGGAGGGATGTCAGATATCTGTAGCGATTTCATCAACAGTGTCTCCGACGGATTATGCGCATCGGTTGATGTGACAGATTTTCAGATGCAAAAGTGTTTCGCCGCAGTGGCTTGTATGTTATGGACTGCATACTTCTGTTACGATACTTAAGGGGGTTCGTATATGTCCGAAACACCTGTCATCTGGTCAACGTAGCCTCAGTAAACTGGTTACGTTACCAGGCCATGATCAACTAGAGTTTGTCACGACTTAATGTTGCTTTTATTTGTTGAGAATCAAAGGCAAGGCATTCGCGTTGATGGTTATCGCATATCAAGAGCGTAGCTGCCCAGGTGCACGAGATTGTACTGTTGCATGTTGAAGAGGAACGCAAGATATGAAAGCGACAGGCGCAGCTAAAGTGGTGCTGTAACACACATGCGATCGTGAGTGCTTCAGTCTAGCTAGTCTGGTAAGGCACCAGCGTGGACACCAGGCGCTAATATCGAAAAGCGACTAGTAGGCTGAATAAGTATGCATAATCGCCGCAACGCATGGTAAATGCGCTGTTTGCTGCTGCAAGCATGAGGAATAACAGCACTAGTGCTGTGCTGTGTCACATGCGTCTATTTTACCACGGTGTCCAATAGCCTCTTTTCATTTAAACTCACTTACTCTCCTACTGTCCGTTAGTCTTCTTGACTGCATCCAACATACCTAGTCTGAGAACGATTACATTTGCATCCACCGTAACGAGATTGAATCTTAAGGTGGCGTGCTTAAGTGATGACTATCAAGCAAGCAACAATTTCAGAGCAAACAATCCTTTTCAGTTTGTTCGTCATCAGACTCAATACAGCTGTACACGGTAAAAGAAGCCGACAAAATCACTTGTGGATACAGTGAGTAACAACTGATCAGAAACATTCCAATCGGGTTCTTCGAGGTGCATTCGACGATCGTGTGATGAAGTCACATGGGATTGCTGAATTGGGCCCGACTTCGCTTTTGGATGATGGCTATGGGAGCTGCAGTGCGTGCATGTGTTTCTTTTGGATGCATGGGTTCGGATTCATTAATTTTATGCATACCGCTTCCACGGTAGTAAGTGGTTGCTCCCCAGCCGATGTCTCTGTTGGTATAGTGCTTTCTACATGATCTCAAAAGCAGTCCTTTAATCGATTTGATGGCCAATACTAACCAGATGGTTTGTGATCGCATATAAGTTGGTTCTATCTTGTTGATTCATGTGGCCGCCTAGTTGATGTTCCTTGATGCTTTTACACAAATGCCTGGTCGTGCGTCCAACTTACCGGTACCCACAGGGACAAGTAAACCGGTAGATTACCATAGATTTGAGATGATCGGACACTTTGTCTTTGAATGTAGGAACAAGTATAATGACTTGCTCATGAAGACAACTTTTAATTGGGCTGCGTTAAAGGTTTTCTCGCATGTTTGTACCAGTCGCCGTCCAACTGCTTCTGTCGCTTTATCGCCTCTGAATGGAAGAGCGAGAAACAGATGTTTCTTTTCGACAGTGCGCCTTGCAACTTTCGGCCTGATTTGCTTCGTGTGAGCGTCAATGAAGCGTTCTAGGCAACCGTTTCCCAGAAGTACTTCTTTGCTTCGCTTCAATTCGTGCGCGATGGTGTCCTCGCTCCAGATTCAGTATACACGGTTTTTAAGATGTGAGCCAGCATTCTTTTACGGTTGCGTGATACAAAATCTTGAAAATGTATGTATTGACGTGTCCAGTACGATTTTCTGTATAGTCCTATCTGGACTGATCCATCTTTTTTTCTCGTAATGTTTGCATCCAGGAAGGTCAGTTGGTTACCACTCTCCTCTTCTATCGTGAATGCTGCATTGGGATGTGTTCGATTGAAACACTGGACGATATTTTGTAGGTTGGTCGTTCAGTCAACTATACAGAAGCTATCATGTCCGTAACGGCGGTGAAATTTGAATTCTGCACTGACCAGTTCTCGTGGACCATCTTCGAGCATTCTTATGTACACATCAGCTAACAGTGGTCCTAAGGCAAATCCCATCGCCACTCTATCCGCTTGACCACTATGTGTTGTTAGATCCAAAGACAAAGTGCCCGGTCATCTCCAATCTACCATAATCTACCACTTTATCTGTCGCTGTGGGTCTAGATATGTTGGACGCACGGTCACAAGCATATCAGCGTCCATTCCTTGGCGGAGCTGTACGCTATCGGGCACGCCCCCAGGTTGCGGCTTGGGGAATGCCTTGTGGAACTAACCGCGAATAAATCTCGTTTGGTTTACAGGCGAGATGAATGATTACTTGCGGACTA